CCCCAAAACCCCAAAACCCCAAGGAGATTAATACTGATAGTGAATCAAAATGATAAAAAAGTCTTGAAATAAATACAGAATAATTTAATAATTAATTAATAAATGCAAGCTGCAGAATAAAAGATTGTCAAAATAGGCATCATTATTGAATTCAATTAATATAGCAGGCACTCATAAGTTTCAAGTATTACAGATAGCTATGAAAATGGAGATATTCTTCAGTAGTTTCTGTTGAAGCAATAGTTTAGGGTAGACAGAATTAATCATGGCACTTAATTACAATCCCCAATGAAATTCATAGACTTACTTGACAATTTGTTTGATGAACATCTTGAGCATGTTAGAGCTATTGAGAATCATGTCTGCTTTTTTGTTTATGCCAGATGTCAGAGTATAGTTCCCAAGGGCTCAGAGGTGATAGAAATTTTCGATCCAAATGGTTATAGATTCCAAATAGAGAAGAGAATAAAGTAGTTTGCTGATATGAAGAATTGTGCAACATATATTTACTTAGAATGTCCTAGGTCTAATCCAAAAAATTTACCATAATCAAAGAAAGTAATTGAATAAATTGATCTAGATTAAGCCTAAGGGCTTCTTCTTATCTAGTATTGCTTTGCTTAAGGATAATCATGGGATAATGAATAAGATTAATCAAGAAAAGATAAGTTTAAATCATTTGTAGAAAATCTAAGAGATTTTAAATTAGTTGATTTTATGGATTTTTTTAAAAATTTTCCTAACACATCTATCATCGGAAGAAGTGATCTTAAGATTGTTTTTGATAAATGCTTGATTCAAAGACCTTTTTAAGAGGCAATATAATAAAATATTGAAATGGTGATCCCAGAGAAAGTTGTCAAATAATCATTAAACCTCATTTTTCAATAATAATAAGTGCCTGCTAATGATCAAATATTATAACTATAAGAAGAGATAAAATTATTAAAAAGTTAACTGAATGAATCTGAACAAAATAATCAGAAATTAGTAGAATAGCTCGAATCCATTAAGACTGAAAAAGATATACAAATAGATTCATATGTTTAGAGAATCAAAATTCTTGAAAATGATTTGGAAGTTAAAAGCCAAGAAATATAAAACAATTCAAGGGAACAATCAAAACATAAAATGTCAATATAGTCCGATAATTCCTAGATGGAAAAAACTATAAAGAAATTAGAAAAAAAGAATGAAAAATTGAATCAGAAGGTCAAAGATTATAAATAAAAGATAAAATCTGATAAGGAAGATTATTAAAAAAGGATAGCCGATATATAAGATAATATATTGAAAAAGTTAAATTTTAATGGTGGAATTACTGAGGGTTAGGATCACTAAACAATTCACCATGATGTTAGTTTTATTCAAAGACATTCAACAATGAAATAAGTTAGAGAACAAAGTAACTAATCTAATGGTAATATCTCAAATTTGGACAAGTCAAGGGATGAAGATTCTTTGAATTTAATGAATCGGTAATAGGTTATTCGAGGAAGACAATTTGAAGAAAAGAAATTTGGTCATCAAATATAAAACAAGAACGAAGAAAATTTTAATTTGTTTGAAAGAATAAAATCATCAAATTAAAACTCAGATGCCCAATAAATTATAATAAATCGCATAGCAAAAGCGAATAGCACTTCAGCTAGGTCTAATGAATTCTTGTAAGATAAAGAAGAATTCAAGAGGGATTTTGAATAGCAACTATTTAAAGAATTTCAATAGAAATAAAAATAGGAGGAAGAAGATAGGATGCTAGCAAAATTTCTACATGAAGAAGAGAGAAAATAAATTGAATAAAATCGCTAATAATAATTCAAAACATAGGAAGAGAAAAATATTCACTCTAATCCCAGAGATGATCATAACTAATCATTAATTACACTTCCAATAGATATAAAAGGATTAGAAGTATCTTAAATCATTAAGGAAGAAGAAACTGATATGATAAAAACATAATTAAAGTAGCAAGCCACCTTCTAAAAATTATATGATAATGAAGCTGATTAGAATTTCGATAAACTTACAAAAGTATTAGAGGGTAAGAAAAATTTAATTTTCTTGGTACGAGCCAAAAATAGTTAAGGAATAATAGTAGGAAGATTTGGTGTATATATTTCAATCGAATATAAAGCTTAAGAAGAAAAGTCTTACAAGGATTCATAAGCTTTCATATTTTCAATAGATAAGAAAATGATTTTAGAGTAGATAGACCCTTTTCAAAATAATGTATCGTTTGGTCCCTCAAAGATTATTTCACTTGGTTCATAAATTGTATTTAATAAAAAGGCAATACACTAGCAGTTAGATCTGGTCCTAATTAAAAATAGTGAAGTTAAAAAATGTACAAACAATATTGGGCAATCATTCTAACTTCCAAATGGTGAAAATCCCAAGATTCTTACTTCATGTCCAATGTTCTAAATAGAGAGATTAGAGGTCTTTTAGATGATAAATTGAGAACTGATTATTTAACCTAGCAATATTCTTTGATTAGAGATATTTTGCTAAAGAATTATTTAGTAGAAATTAATTAGTTAATTTAAATAGTTTGATCTTCCTTGATAACTTATAATGCGGGGTTTTGGGGTTTTGGGG